TGCAATCAAACTGGGGTTCTCCATTGCAGGGTCTTCCTTCTTTGATTTACTTCTTGTTTCCATCAAAATTCAACTTGGGTTCTGGTAAATCCCACTTGTGACACCAAATGGACCATGGATGGCCGGGTATCCAACTCTTTCTTCAGCTTCCAACTTTTATTAACTCGGTAAAACTTTAAATGCGGAACAGGAACAAACTAACTTCAAAATTACCGTCAACTTCACAAACAATAACAATAACAAACGGAAAACTCGCTCTTCAGACTCGCGGGGTTTAACCTCTCCAGCCCAGGTGCGAAATTTCGCAATGGGGCGCAAATGGGGCCCCCACCTACTGAAATACCATCAATTTCGATCCCCCCATTCCAAACGTGAGTACCCAGGCCATTTCCGTTACAATATTTAAATTTGAAGTAGAATGTAGCAAACAATCTGCAGGAGTTGAAAGAACAGATCCGGAAAAAGTGCGTGGCATCAGTAGAGAGTTGAGGTTTTTTCCAGAAAAAATTGCCTCAATCTGAAATGAACTTAGCCATTCCGTCAGGGACTCTCTCTACCCATACATAAATATGTGAATCCAAGTTCACTTTGACTTAATTTTCATCTACTGACCTGCGGGGTGTTCGGGATCGCGTTATTTTCCAGAAGCTCCTTCACACAGTCCACAGCCAGATTTTGGACGGCGTAATGCAAGGGGCTTTTCTTTTCGATTCCGCTGTTTACATGCGCTCCATGCTTGATCAGCAGTTTCAGGCAGCCAATGTGGCCCATGCTGGCTGCACAGTGCAAAGGGGTAACGCACATCAGCAAGTCTTGCACATCCATCTTGGCCCCATTTTGAAGCAGGAGCCAAACGCAGTCACAATGACCTGCGTAGGCAGCCAGGTGTAGGGCGGATCTGGAAGCATTTTAGTAGGCACATCATTCCTGCATCACTGATTGGAACCGCCCACTTACCGCCCAGTCTTATCGACGGTATTTAAGGGCACGCCTTCGTTTATTAGGGCCCTCAGTATATTGGCTTTTCCTATCCAGGCGGCCAGCAGAAATGCTGTGTGGCGGTTTTTGGCTAAAACACTCGCTATGGCTTCGCGGTCTATCAAGTCTATGAGATCGGGACCATCTGGAAGAGCCTGATGGAATGATAATCAATTGTCGCGCTGAGCCGGTAGAGCTGAGCAACTCACTTCCAGCTGCGATCTGAGCACGTTGGGATCCCAAATCTGCAAGACTGGGATGGGTCTGGCCACTGGGTCATTGCCACACTCAGAGCCAGAATTTTCCTCACTGATAATTTCAAACGATGGTTCCTCGATGTTGATGCTTTCGTCCATCCATTGCAGCTTGTCGTCCATGTAGCTCAGAGGATTTTGGACGTTGGTGTCCATTAGGATCTTCGAGCTAAATTAAAACTGCAAACTACACTTTCGACAGAGTTCGCCTGGGAGGCGTCATTAAAATCCTAAAGAAAAAGAAACCCCTGCTAACATAGTAACAACGATATACAACCTTAACACTGCTAACAGAACGTAATACTTAGCATCCCCACCCCACCCAGGGGAATAGGGTGTTTCACTTTTTTTAAATGTTGATATATAGAAAGTAGTTAAGACAAACATTACACTGATATAATTTTTTTGCAAAAAAAGTCTCCATAATAATTTTAAAGCGAATTTAAATTCAAATCATATATTTTCCGCCAAAAACGCCGAATCCGTATCGTCGGTTGCCTATCCCGATTGTGACGTTGCAGGTCATATCAACAAAGTGTCTCGTGTTTATTTTGTTGTTTTATTATTTAAGTTATTGTGATTATCATTATTTTATTGATTATTATTATTATCTTGCATAATGGAAAATAGTGACATGTATGGATCACAAAATAAGTGGTGTTTTGTGCCGGGATGCAAGAATACCTCAATAAGTGCTCCAAACAAGCTCTTCCTAACCGTTCCTCATGATTATGCACGTAAAGTTTATGACTCAAAGCAGCTAGACGTGATGTTCCTAAATCAAAATCAATGTTTTTTTGTTGCGAGGATCATTTTAATGAAATTACGAACAAAAAGCTAATGATGAGGCAGACAGAATATGCCTTCGATCGTACTCTGTGTTCTGGGCATATTCTACCTTGTACGGTGCACAAAAAACCCTCGCGTTTCAATTCCACATATCCGATATCACCATATTGTTCTCGTGATGTCCAAAATACATATTTAAGAGTTCATTTTACTTTTAAAGCAGCCATGTGTATAAGCTAGATTAAGTTGAATAAGTGAAATTCTATATATTATTTACCTAATTTAAACCAATACAGATATATTAGTATATTAAGGAGAGAGTAACTAATAATGAATTTACGGCTTTTTACTTACGCTGCTGCTTTGACACCCTTAAATTGGGCTGAATTAAAGCGTTAGTCGTTTTTTAAAAATTCGGTAACCATTAAAATATGTACACATGGTAAATTGTTTGTTGACGCTTTAAGGAATCCTTCTGAAGCGATTTTTTAGTTTAACGCAAACTCTAAATTATTTAAATCCACAAAATAATTAATGAAACACAATGCACAGAACGTAAACAATCCGCCATTTATATGACCAGAGACGTCACAACCAATAGGATTGCGTTTTAGAGATTCATGAATAATTTGAATTTTAGCCGAATTTGTTTATTAAATATTTAACAAAATAGCAATGGATAGATAGTATAAACTTATTTAATCTTTCATATACAGGGTTGCTCATTAGTGCGTCAAAGTGCGATATCTCAGTAAATATAAACTTCACAAGAAAATACGTCCTACGAAAGTTTTTCATGTTTAAAAGGTCCACATTTTAAAATTACTTTCCAATATACGGGGTGTATCATAAACGTGTGGTAGTTACCAACTTTGGTTTTTTAAATAGAACCTCCCCTTTTTTCATTCATTTTCAGATTTGTCGTCAAAATTTAAGTTAAGTTTGTGTCAAACGTTTTACCTGAAAAATTTACGATTTCCGAGTTATT